AAAAGAAGAAACAATCACCTGACGGTTCTCCTGTGGAAAGCGGTTCTCCGGTGAGATATATGGATCTTGTTTTCTGACGATTTGACACGTTTGAGTTCTCCGGTGAGATATGTTGCTCTGAATCGGGAGGTCCTGAAGAAGTTAAAGAAACCGATTAATTTCCAAAACACATTAAACAAACATCAAAAGACAGAGAGCCTTAATCGGGAATCACAACCTGCCGTCCAACTAGTGTGAGTGAGAAACACTAACTGTGCTTGCTAATCAATGAAACAAGAATTTTGTATGTCACTATGGCTTCCAAGAATATATTCCATGCCCGATTATTCAATAAACCCTCAATAACTTTTAAAACATAATCACCTAACACTAAACTGTCCATACAACAACCAATACAAAAAAATCTGTGCACTGTGAATGATGAAGAAAATAATAATCAACGAAAAGGTAACAAAAAAATCATCAAAGGGTTTTAGGAAACATTCAAAAATCATCAAACAACAACAACAACCAATACACTGTGAATGATGAAGAAAATAATAATCAACGAAAACCAAAACTGATTTCAGAATACATAAATTAAATAATCGGTGTAGTTCGAGAGAGATTGAACCTTGTGAAGAGAGGGACGAGTCGTGCGGAGGCGATGAGAGTTGACGATGGTGGCGATTGAACGGAAAGAGGCTACCGTGAGAGGACGAAGAAGGAACGAATTTGGGGGTTGGGTTGGAAGAAAGGAAACACAACAGCCACAGTACGAACACACCTTTAATCAAAAACAATAAAATTTATTATAAAACAACCTACGAAAGCGCTTTTAAAAGCGCTTTCTAATGGTCATGTATAACAGCGCTTTTACATAAAAAAGCGCTTTCGTAGCATATCCTATAGCAGCGCTTTTAAAAGCGCTTTCTAAAGGCCAAATTTAGCAGCGCTTTTGAAAAGCGCTTTCTAAGGCTGACCTTTAGCAGCGCTTTTGAAAAGCGCTTTCTTAAGGTACCCTCTGAAAGGCACCCTTTAGCAGCGCTTCTCAAAAAGCACTTTCTAAGGGTGACCTTTAGCAGCGCTTTTGAAAAGCGCTTTCTTAAGGAACCCTTTGAAAGCATTTTTTTTAAGCGAATTTTTTTTAATACCTACAGCAGCGCTTTTTCCTAAAAGCGCTTTCGTATGTGTGCTGTTAAAGCTTATTTTTGGCGTAGTGTTACCAAATTCTTTACAAGTCTCCATTTCTATTTGACACAACCAAGTCAGATTTTCTCAACTAAAGGTGTGAGACGATGATGATGTTCGAAACATGTTTCGAACTAATGAATAATTCGGGTTCAATGAGATTGAGTTGTATGTTTTATTACAATAACCTGATCAATCTCAGTTGGTAGATCCTTCTCAAGATTTTGAAGATAATGATGAATCTGATGAGATTGAGTTGCTTGTTTCTTCATACCATGCTGATGTCTTGATGATTTGTTTGCCATAAGTTTAAGCCTACTTTGATCACATGTTCATGTATTCTCTTAACCTTGATACCATGACTTTGTTTAGTTCTAAACTTTGATGCTTACCATGATTCATATCTTATTAGTGTTTAAAATTGACGGTTGTCATGATGAACTAATAACATGAATGTTTTCTTTGTCATGTACCTTGTGTTTTTGTATTATCCATGTTTGAATGCTTTATCAAAGTATGATTCTATCTTACATCTTTTGTCACAATTTTTACTTGATAAACATGTTAACATCTCTGATGATTGATCTTTGTTCATCTTAACATGATATACTTGTTCTTAATACTTGTTCAGCTTTGGTTTAACATTTTTCTTAAATGACTCTCTTAAAATCCATGCTACTTTGAGATCTTGTCCTAAATATTTGTGACATGTGTGATTGTTCTTTGTATTAGTGATTAGTTGTTTATATTTTTATTAGTACTTATGTTCAAAACCAAGGATAAAAGAGATACTTTTGTTGACTTAATAGTCATGTGCATATGCATATCTTAGGTTCAACTTTGTATGTTTACCTTTTGTATATTACCTTTGTAATTGTTTGTATTTACCCTTTGTGCTAAAACCTTATTCTTATTTTCAAACTTAAACTACTTTCATTAAAAACTATGATTTTATGTCATTGCATTTCCAAACTTTCTTTCTTTAATAAATGCTTCAACACACTTAAGCATATTAAACAATTTCAAAAGACTAAAAGAGATTCAACCTCACTCAAATCCTTTTTTCCACTTTGACTTTTTCAATTTAAAACATTTTCTCAAAGATATTAATACATGAGTTATCTTTATAGTTAAGATGAAATTCTCTTATCCCCATAAGTAATGATTGAAGTAAATATGATTCTTTCCACTTGAGGGAGATGGTTGCAACTTATTGATCTTATATCCAAGTTGAGACCCCTTCCCTCATGATGATGCAAGATCCATCTTTTCATACATGTGGTGGTAATAGTTGAGTATTCTCTTTAAGATAACAACTTGTATCTTCTCCTAAAATCAACCAACAAATCTTTTGTTATTTTTACCACGAACGAGTTTTCGATCCTTCATTAGTACATAGGTATAAGACTTTATGTCTTTTCAAACAAAAATATAATTAAAAAAACAATTTTTCTTATCTCCGCACTTTTTTTTGCAAGCAAACCATTTAACAAAAAAATAGATATTACAAAAGCTTCCTATAAAGTATTATAGATATATAGGGTTTTAATACATTCCCTTTGTATAATAATCCCCCGTACCTTATATCTCTTCGTTGTGCTTTGTGTTTAGTTTTTGATTCTTGCATTGCATGTTTAAATAGAATTTTGATATTTTCCATTTTCTTCGAAAACAATAAAGTTCAATGGTGACTTTTAAACTTTGTGAGTCAAGTTAATCAATAACTTGGTTTCTCCAATTTTTCACCGCAACAGTAACATTCAATGACAAGATCAAGAGCGTCTTGAGCACCGAACAACACACGCATTAGAATCATTCACTGATTCTAATTATTTCCACCAAACATGGAAAGCTTTGTATTTAAATTGTTTCCTTTGTTCATCTTTTCTCTTATGCACTAAAAAACTCAAACAGATCTCAGATCCTACCAAGCACTCGTGTTTACCGATCCCGTAAAATCAAGAAATTCAATTTTATGACGATTCTAATTATGAATTCAACACATTCAAGAAAAACAAAATCAATTATACATAACTCATGTACACTCGTGTTTCCATGTGAATCGAACGAGAACTCTAGATACTAATTATTTGTGCACAAGGTTAAAGATGAAGATGTAGATGGAAGTAGAGTTAGAAAGAGAAAAGAGAGAAAAATAGTTGTAACAAACTTGTTGAGAAAGAAACTCTATTATAAAAATCATCCAAAAACCTATCTATAAACTTGTTTAAATACACAAAATAAACTGACACAAAGGCTTAATCAAAAATATGCTTAATATCTAAGCTAACATCTAAGAGTAGCTTCTTGAAAATATCTAACTACTACTTCTGACTAAATAGTCTCAGAAGCTTACAGCTTCTGGTTAACATCCTCAGAAGCTACTGCTTCTAACTAATAGACCCAGAAGCTTCTCACTCTAAAAACAGCTTCTGAGTGCAGTTTGGGTGGTTTTTACTCTAAAAGTCATCTGAACCGTAAGAGAAAAAAGTGTGCGATTTGGTTTTGTTCAGTTGAGTTTTAAAATTAAAATGAAACTAAACCAATGCAGTTTGAATTGGATCGGTTGATTTGGTTTTTTATAAAAAAATTATTGAGCCAACACGTGTATTGGACAACATAATTTTGTGTTTAGTCATTCATACATTTCCATAAAATAAATTTTTAATTTTTAATAAATTTATAACTTGATGCATAAATATAAATTGTGTCTTACAATTTTATCTTATGTCTAAAAGATAATATATCAGAATTTTTTTTCTTAAATAAATTCGAAATATTAAATTATATAGTTATAAGCAAATACATGCATGTGATGATGCTATCATGGTAACACTATAAATTCTTTTTTATTATCAATATCTTATATATTATTAAAATTAATGTAAATTAAATTTTTTCTTTTAATTTTTTCTTTATCAACAACAACAAATTAAAATTAAAAGCAAAAATAAATATATATCAATTTCATTCCAAACAAAAATATTATTAATATTTATAAAATACAAATATTTGATTTTTGATAATATATAAATTAAAATAAAGATAATACAGAAACTACAATAAAATATACATAGTATACTTGTTTATTTCTCTAAAGAATTAAAAATATAAATTGTTTGTAAGATATCGTAACATAATACGGTTTAGTTTTATTTAGTCCGATTTGTAAAATACAAAATGTAAACTAAACCGAATAATACTGTTTTATTAAAAAATAATTCAAAAACATCTGAATCAAATATTGTTTTTTAATTTTTGATTTAGTTTGATTTAATTAATAGTTTTTTATTAGACCGTTTTAATTTTGAACACCTCTAATCAATTGTATGAATAACTTCGCACCACCATGATACTTTAATATATTCACTAAAAAAAACTAAAAAACTGAATATAAAAAAATATAATGTTCTTTAATTTATTTCAAATACATTTTATTTATTCCAATAAAAAATCTTTTTATTTTTATTTGTTATCAATATTTTAATTAGACATATTTATATGGGTCAAATCTATTATGAGACTTTATTATACACTTTAAAGAATCAAATATAAACAACCAAAAAATAAATAAATCCAAATTCAAATGTATATTGTCATTAATTTAGACCAAATATATTTTATTCTTTCAATAAAAAATGTTTTTTTTTTAAATATCTTTAATTAAGTTATTTTATGGGCCAAACCCATATTTAAGTACGAAATGACAAATTAATGCCAACTTGGCATAACTTTTTTGCAATATAAATAAGAACCTAATCAGTCAAGACCTATTCACAACCAACACATTTTATAAAATTTAGAAAGATAACAATTAGAATATCAACATCATGAGGTTTCAATATGTTATTCTTATGCTTATTGGTATGTCAGCTTTTATGGTTGTGAGAAATCAAGTTACTCTAGGTGGGTGGATTCCCATAAAAAATATCAATGATCCACATGTTACCAGCATTGCCACTTACGCTGTTACCGAGTATGATAAGCAAAGTGGGTTAAAGCTAAAGTTGGAGAAGGTCATTAGTGGTGAGACAAATGTTGTGGATGGGACAATCTTTTGCCTCAACATTTCTACTACTACAAATTCTGCTTCTAACAAGTATAATGTTGTTGTGTTGGAGAAGTTATCGCAAAGAAAACTTACTTCCTTTGTTCCTCTTCATGCTTAAGTTATTAAATATTATTAACTATAAGGTCTTTTAACATCATTTGGATGAAAACTTAGTATAACAACAATATCAATAAAAGATAATGCTTTTTTACATTACAATGGATCGTATATCTAAATCTATGAAATATTATTATCTACCTATTTACAACGTTACTAGTAGTTACGAATTTCTTGAAAGTTGTTATGGGTTTGTGAATATTTTTTTTTCATGGGTAAATAATTGATCTTCTTTAAAGGGGAATAGGGAGAGACATTAAAAAATTAATTTGTCAAGACCCACACGACCATAATGCGAATTTTTTTTAAATAATCACTTTTAAAAAAAAAATCAAATAACTAATTTTTCAAAAGAATTACCAAGTAACCATTTTTCAAACAAAAAATCCGTCACACAGAGGTCAAGTCACTCTGTGTGGCGCGTGCATGTAAATTAGAGAGGAGGCGTCATACTGCATGACTTGTCCTCTTATATAGTATCATGTCGTGTGGCGCATGCATGTCATTTTAAGGAGGAAATGACATGTTAGATGGCTTGAAAGTTGTTGTTATTAATTTTATTAAATGATAATAATAGTAATTAAAATGATTTTATATTAATATTTTATATTAGACAATGCATAGATATATATTTTTACGGACGTCCCCCTAAACCTAAGCGTGTTCCTGTATGATATAAAGGCCCCCGCATTTGCCTCACCTCTTGCCTCACCACTCTCTGTGGAATTCCTTGAGATGTTTGGGGTCTGTTCTGACTCGCTTGATAATGAGGTGATTGATGTGATAGTCCTGGTACCTTAGGATCAGACATCTCCTCGATCATTTCTCCCTACTATGTTTTGCTTCCAAAGAGATCGGTGCCCATGTTGTTGAAGTTTTATCTTTTTGGTTGGGATATGTGTGGGTGGGGTGATTGATAGAATTGGAATGTTGAATCGTTTTGGAAACGAAGCAATTGTACTTAAGGTGTCTGAAATCTGTATGATGGTTGGGTACTTCGATGGTGTCATGTTTAACTGTATGTAGGTTGGGTGGTATGGTAGGAATGAGAGGTATCATATGTGTCTTCAGTGTTGTGGTAGGATGCGAAGGGTGAATATTGTTGGTGGTGTGTGGGGTCATGCTCTTGGTATTATGTTTGTGTGTGTGGCATGAATTGATGACGGGTTTAGTGGGATGTAGTGGTGTATGATTGTTGGTTTTGAGTGGGTTGACATTGTTGTTGGTTTTGGTATTGTTGAGGGGTTCGGCGTTGGGGTTGTTGTTGGGCGTATGATGCAGCTCTTTGGCATGGATCGATCAAATATGTCTCATGCGACAGAAACAAATTTATTGAAATAGATGTATACCATGTCAAATATTGGATAGGTGGTTTTAAGTCATCTTGCGAGATCGGCTTCCTTAGGACCAATTCACTTTGATGCCTCCATTGACGACATTGATTTTTAGCAAAGTCCCTCAAGTCATGAAATCCCCATTGGTCATAAACTCTGAGTAAATGCCATTGTCCCAGACACGTAGGGGGTGTAGGGATTCTCTATTGCACGTTTAACTGTAGCTTCACATAATCACTGTGGTGCATCTCCACAGTAGTGAACCTGATGAGAGTTATTTTTCCAGTCTAGACTTTAGCATCTTCTAGGTTAATCTCATGGTCGAGATCCTTATACGGCTTCTATACAAACTGTAAAGGAAAAAGAGTGTTAATCTAATATTAATATTAAAATTAATTAACATATTGAAAGCGTTGTATCAAAAATGTAAGCATAATACCTCTTCGAGTCCAACATGATCAATAAGATTTCGGTAGACTACTATTGCATTTCTAGAGGATTTATTGTAATTCTTCCTAGGAACACCCACCTACATAGAAAATATGAGTAATAAATTAATACATATTGGTTATAGTATATAGTATGTAAAACTGGTGTTGTCGTAATCTTACTTTGTAGTAAAGGGGAAGACGAATGGCCTTGTGTTGTGGGGGGCGAGTGTCAGCATTTTCGACCAGCACCATGTCTGGAGCAAAAAGGCACGGGAATAGAAAAAAAAACAATTGTCGTTCGATGCGTATTTACACATAGAACTATACAGATGGGCAAAAACAGCAGATCTCAAACTATATGTGTTTATTTTATCAAAATGTCTTAACAAAGGTAAATACATGATATTAACAATATTAGTTGTTGTTTCAGAAAATAAAAAGTGACCAAATAATATCATTATGTAACACAAATCTTTCATAAATTTTTCTTGCTCGGTAGAGTTTTCAGTTATTACGAGACTACTATGATGTTCTCTAAGTAGACTGAGATTAATACCTTGGCCTATAGACCCTTGTTCAAATAAACAGACTCCCAAAAGTTCATCGCATATGTATTCACGTGAGAATTCTCTGCATGTAATTAACATGTAGGTGCCACCCTAGGTGGCGCATCCTTATGTTTTTACATTAAGGCTCCATTCAAAATGGCTTGTTCCTTTTTGCATGTATGCAAAGCTGTAGTGTGGTAGTGATCAGATGACATACATGCAAGCTTGTCGTTCACGTGACAAGCCACCCTAGTTGGTGCATGCTTATAAAAATTAGAGGACAAGCCACCATAGGTGGCACATATGTTGTAATTTTAGAAGAGAAACTTTCTTGGGTGGCGTATTAGTGTTGTATTCCCATACTTTCATCTGTCTATTTAAGAGTCCGTTTAAGGCACATTAATTTTGTACATCCATAACTCACAAAAGCATACCTCAACATATGGATCATTCACAATATTATAGTATTGTTACTCATATTAACTGTGAGACGTTCAATTGTGATAACTTCGGTTTTAATTTTCGTAATATCGATTTTATCTGCTTTAGCACAAACATGAAATCAAGTTTTGCACGTCTCAAAGATAGACTAGAAGCAAAGTTGCAGTGTGGTCCAGTTTATCAAATTCTTTCAAAGTCTCCATTTCTATTTGACACAACCAAGTCAGGTTTTCTCAACTAAAGGTGTGAGACGATGATGATGTTCGAAACATGTTTCGAACTCATGAATAATTCGGGTTCAATGAGATTGAGTTGTATGATTTATTACAATAACCTGATCAATCTCAGTTGGTAGATCCTTCTCAAGATTTTGAAGAAAAGGATGAATCTGATGAGATTGAGTTTCTTGTTTCTTCATATCATGCTGATGTCTTAATGATTTGTTTGCCATAACTTTAAGCCTACTTTGATCACATGTTCATGTATTCTCTTAACCTTGATACCATGACTTTGTTTAGTTCTAAACTTTGATGCTTACCATGATTCATATCTTATTGGTGTTTAAAATTGATGGTTGGCATGATGAACTAATAACATGAATGTTTGCTTTGTCATGTACCTTGTGTGTTTGTATTATCCATGTTTGAATGCTTTATCAAAGTATGATTCTATCTTCCATCTTTTGTCACAACTTTTACTTGATAAACATGTTAATATCTTTGATGATTGATCTTTGTTCATCTTAACATGATATACTTGTGCTTAATACTTGTTCATCTTTGATTTAACATTTTTCTTAAATGACTCTCTTAAAATCCATGCTACTTTGAGATCTTGTCCTAAATATTTGTGACATGTGTGATTGTTCTTTGTATTAGTGATTAGTTGTTTATATTTTTATTAGTACTTATGTTCGAATCCAAGGAAAAAATAGATAGTTTTGTTGACTTAATAGTCATGTGCATATGCATAACTTAGGTTCAACTTTGTGTGTTTACCTTTTGTATATTACCTTTGTAATTGTTTGTATTTACCTTTTGTGCTAAAACCTTATTCTTATTTTCAAAATTAAACTACTTTCATTAAAAACCATGATTTTATGTCATTGCATTTCCAAACTTTCTTTATTTAATAAATGCTTCAATACACTTAAGCATATTAAACAATTTCAAAAGACTAAAAGAGATTCAACATCACCCAAATCCTTTTTTCCACTTTGACTTTTTCAATTTAAAACATTTTCTCAAAGATATTAATACATGAGTTATCTTTATAGTTAAGATGTAATTCTCTTATCCCCATAAGTAATGATAGAAGTAAATATGATTCTTTCCACTTGAGGGAGATGGTTGCAACTTGTTGATCTTATATCCAAGTTGAGATCCCTTCCCTCATGATGATGCAAGATCCATCTTTTCATACTTGTGGTGGTAATAGTTGAGTATTCTCTTTAAGATAACAACTTGTCTCTTGTCCCAAAATCAACCAACAAATCTTTTGTTATTTTTACCATGAACTAAGAGGTTTTGATCCTTCATTGGTACATAGGTATAAGACTTTATGTCTTTTCAAACAAAAATATAGTAAAAAAAACATTTTTTCTTATCTCCGCACTTTTTTTTGCAAGCAAACCATTTTAACCAAAAAATTGATATTACAAAAGGTTCCTATAAAGTACTATAGATATATAGGGTGTTAATACATTCCCTTTGTATAATCATCCCCCGTACCTTATATCTCTTCTTTGTGCTTTGTTTTTAGTTTTTGCTTCTTGCATTGCATGTTTAAATAGAATTTTGATATTTTCCCTTTTCTTCGGAAACAATAAAGTTCAATGGTGACTTTTAAACTTTGTGAGTCAAGTTAATCAATAGCTTGGTCTCTCCGATTTTTCACCGCGACAGTAACATTCAGTGACAAGATCAAGAGCATCTTGAGCACCGAACAACACACGCATTAAAATCATTCACCGATTCTAATTATTTCCACCAAACACAGAAAGCTTTGTATTTAAATTGTTTCCTTTGTTCATCTTTGCTCTTATGCACTAAAAAACACAAACAGATCTCATATCTCACCAAACACTCGTGTTTCCCGATACCGTAAAATCAAGTAATGCAATTTTATTACGATTCTAATTGTGAATTCAACACATTCAAGAAAAACGAAATCAATTACACATAAATCACGTACACTCGGGTTTCCATGTGAATCGAACCAGAACTCTAGGTACTAATTATTGGTGCA